GGATGATGTTGACTATTATGAGACATTTTCTCCTGTTTTGAAAAAGGAGTCGTTTAGAATTATTATGGTAATGGAAGCTCATTATGATTTAGAGCTATATTAAATGAATGTAAAAGCTGCTTTTCTAAATTTGAATTTGGAAGAAAATATCTACATGGATCAACTTAAAGGGTTTTAGTTAAAGAAATTGAGCACATGGTCCGTAAACTTAAGAAATTAATATACGAACTTCATCAAGCTTCTAAAAAATAGTATATTAAGTTTAAAAATACTATTATTGCATTTGCATTTAACAAAAATACTATTGATCATTGTATATATCTAAAGGTTAGTAGGAGTAAGTTTATAATTCTCATTTTTATGTTGATGACATCTTGCTTGCTTATGATCTTGACTTATTACACGAGATCAAGAAATCTCTCTCTAAAAAAATTGAAATGAAAAACATGGGTGAGGCTTCCTATGTGATAGTAATCAAATTATTTCATGAAAAATCACATGGATTGTTGTGATTGTCTCATAAAACATGTATCAATAAAGTTCTAAAGAGATTTAAAATGAAAAAATGCTTTGAAAATGTTGTTCCAACTAAAAGAAAAGATAAACTTGGCCTTATGTAGTGTCTAACGAATGATTTAGAATGCACAAAATGGAAAAAAATTCCTTATGCATAGATTGTTAGGAGTTTGATGTATGCTCATACTTGCACTAAACCGGAAATTAGCTTCATCGTTAGAATGCTAAAAAAATATCAAAGTAATTCGAGATTAGATCATTGAAAGACTTTAAAGAAAGTATTAAGTTATTTGTACGAAACAAAAAATCACATGCTCACTTATAGGAGATCTAATCATCTTGAGGTGATTGGATATTTAGATTCGGATTATATAGGATGTGTTGATACAAAAAAATCCACGTTTCACTTGTTAATGTAGGTGCTCAAGATCCAACCATATTTACACGGGCTTGAGTTAATTTATTATTACATTATTTATTTTAATAATAATAAAGAAGTATTCTATTAATTTTTGTGTTTTATGTTTGTAAATTCAGTAAAGTTAGATAGAAGTCTTTATGATATGCATTTGCAATAGTGATTGATCGAAAGATATAAGACAGATACTAATGCATATAAATGATATCATTAAACTTTTCAAGTCGTAGCATTGTCAAGAATGGACATTGACTATATGCGAGATAGACTTGTAAGTACTATGCTTATATTATATGATAGCGAGTAGGAGATCTCACACATATTGGTATGGTGATGCCAAAACAAGCACTTAGGTGATTTATGTTAGAAAACATATCGCTAGACTTGACTTGCCATGAGAACCCATTTGGTTTTAGTTTATGAGAATCTCATATGAGATGAGTACAAATGGTCCTTAGACTTAAAGTCATCATAATTGTCTCATTAGAGGACTTATGCACTTTGACACTCATTTTGACGAACCCATTAAAGGGTTGCACTTGGACGATTCGTTGAGTGCAATAGAAATCTAATGGAGACATGTGTATGAATAAGATAGGACATGTCATTCCTTGTATGATAAAGGAGTTATCACATTGTATTTTAATAAATATCCACTCTAAAAATCTATGGTCACCGTAGGAGTATACCAATAGAGCATAGTTGGTTTACTTTTAAGAGCTAAGACATTTGAGAATCGAAGAAAACTTATATGATCATAATCGAATAAGACTTATAATCAAGTTCGAGATCACACTCGTGATAAGTTGATAAGAGGACTGAATTATATGGTGACTATACTCGTGAAAAGTAATAATGGATTAATCAATCTTCCTAAAAAATTGGATAGTCATAATGCCTTGCTAGAGACCAATCTTGATTTATGTACCAAAAGATAAAAGAGGAGTCTTTTATTCTTGATACAATGCCAACGTATGTTGGAGTTTATCGAGTCACACACATAAGTTTAAGAATTATAAATGAGAAGCAAAAATTATTGGAAAAAGTTTCTAATTATGAAAGCTTTCTATTTTGGAAAGGGTTTCCAAAATGAAAAGTTTCCTATTTTAGAAATCATTTTCCTAATTTGGAAGTTAGTTCCAAATTTGGAAGTAAATAACCTAAAATGAAAACGATTTTCCTAATTTAAGTTGCGAGTATTTTGAAAAATTATTTCCTAAAATGGACCCGCCTAAAATAATCTAAGATTATTTATTTAGATAGTCCAAATAAATTAATTGAGCTAAAATGGTTTTGGCTCATTAGGTTTATTTAAAAGCTTTAAGATATTTGGTGGGAGGATAAACATCAACCTTATTGGATAAAGATGAATGTTTTGAAGATAATGATTAAAAGTACATATGTAGAAATAACTCCTCTTCTTTGGAGATAAGAAAGCAAGAACCTAGAGTCCTAATGGGGACTTAATGCCGCCCCTCTCCTTGTCCTTAGAGGATAAGGAAACTCTCCTATAAATATAAGGGAGAGAGAGGTGCGACAACTAAGCAAAAAGAGAGAGAAAAAGGAAAAATTCAGCTAACCCTAAAAACTAACTAAGGCACATGGAAAAGTAAAGAAAAAAGAGAAAATAGTTTTCTCCAAAAACTTTAGCATAAATATACTCTTTTCTTCTCTTTTAAGGTTGTTGTAAAATTACCCGGGATTGATTTTATAGGAAACACTACACAAATCAGAAAATGGTAGAGTTAGCACCCTATTGATTTTAAGTGCTTATTTGTGGATACTTGGATCTGTGTGGATCACCAATAGAGGTCGGACAATTGGATGACATTTCGATAAAAAAATTTGGATTTGCGCTACAAGAGGTAATCCTTTATTTATTGCTTTAAATTTATGCATGTATGGTTAATAGATTCAATGGCTTGATCTTGATCCCTTGGATGGAGGAAAATTTTTGTTTATTTCGTACCTTCATAGGATGCATGATCCTACATGGCTATTTGTTGTTTTTTTAGATAGAGGAGCAATCTCACTAGAAGAGTGGAAAGCAGCTTTGTTATTACCGCATCCACCGTAGAAGCTCGAGTTTATGGCATGTTTTGAGACCATTGTTCATGGTTTAGTGATCGCAAAACTTTATTTCAAGACTTGAAATTATTCACGGTATTGCTAAGTCGCTAAAAATTTATTATGATAATGTCATAATAGTCTTCTTTTAAAAAAATGATAAGTATTCAAAGGGTGCTAAATACATAAAAATAAAATACTTTTTTTTGTTAAAAAAGAAGTTCGTAAACAAAACAATTAAAACCAATCTTATGATTGCAGTTCCTTTAACAAACGAATTACCGCCGGACACATTTAACGAACATGTCAAAAGAATGAGCATTATCGAGTACTATTAATGATATAATGTTATTATTTCGTGTATTTCATGCATTTGGAACTCTAAGCTTATTTAAGTATTGTTTATAATATTTAAATATTTTTTATTTATTGTTGGTGTATGTGTGTGTGTGTGTGTGTGTAAAATGAATTATGTGAATATTAACGAGTTGTCTTTGACCAAGACATTATTGTTGGACCATTATGACGTATCTCATTATAGATTATGTTAAGTTTTGAACTAATAACGTTATACATAGAAGGAAATATTTCGAATCTGTGGCATACAATTGTTGATATCTTTATTATTTTTTACTTAATCATGATTAATGTTATGACAAATGTAGAAAAGAGTTTAGCATGTCACTATGCATGTTATGTTTTGTTGGACCATGATAATGTCACATGGGCCAAGTAAGAGAATGTTAGATATTTTCTTTTAAGTGGCTTATGTTTTTTATGATTTAATAAATTAAGTGCTAAAATCTTATTGGTCACTTAAAGAGATACAAATAAAAAGTCGCGTTGATGCAAGCATTAAAAAATCTCTTGAATTATAAAGCATTAAATTAAAAGTCTTTTAAATTATAAAACATTAAATTAAGATGACTCTTTAATTATAGAACCTTAAATCAAAAAGTCTCTTGAATTATAGAGAATTAAATTAAAAGACTATTGAATTATATATCAATAAATATGACTTTTGAATGGATCTTCTCTCTAGCTTATAAATAGACATATTATTTTTATCAATAAGGCTACTTATATGTTAAAAACTTAAGAAAGTCAAAGAGAGAAATATAGTTTCTTAAAATATTTTTTCTTGTGATTGATAGTTTCATAAAAGCTTTTCTTGTGATTAATAGTTTACTATAAAAGATTTCTCATGTGATTGATTAATCTTTTCAAACTTTATCGGATCAAGAAATGTTATCTCTTATTTTTATTTGATATGTGACAATTATAAAGTTCTAAAATCTTGGGCAGTAAAATTTATGCATAATTATAGACGATTTGATTTGCATAAGTATAGAATATAATAACAAAAAATGAAGATTGAAAATCATGGTAGGATTTTTTTACCAAAATAAAACATATAATTTTCTTTTCTTTTCTTTATTACCTATATAAAAATACCTTATTAAATTCAAATTTCTAATGAAAAGTTATGAATATGTTATTATCTTCTTAAGTGGTCTCATTGGTTGAATAAAAAGATTAATGATTAATCTGTTAGTATTTTAACATTAGATAATTCATTTTTTTTCAAATTTGGATTATTTGCAATGGAATTTTTATAAACCTTAACGAGAGGAAAAAAAAAGAACAGGATAATATTCTTATAAAATTAAGTTTCATAAATTAATTTAATTATCTTTTATTTTTATTTTGAATAATAAATTATCTTAAAAATAACTTAAATAATCGCAAGAAGAAAAACTTAAACAACACAAGTGACTAATAATAATAAATATATTTAATTCCAATATTAAAAAAAAAATCAAATCAGTGCCATCAAATTCTGTCACAGCAAAGAGCACCAACAACGCTAAAAAAAAAAAAAAAAAAAAAAAAAAAAAAAAAAATCACAAATTTCAAACCTCAATAGCGAACCCACACGAACCGTAACGGACTCTAAAAAAATAAGGAAAAACATAACGAACTTGGTGCGCTAAACCCAATGCCACCATCAGCCGCCGCTACCGGTGATGACGACGAAGACAACGAGCCTCTCTCTTCCAATCCTCCTCTCGCTGAAATCTCGGATTCCGATATGGATATCGATAAGGATGATGAAGAAAAAGAAGAGGATCCTGAAGAAGAAGTCGGTGCTGGTGAAAATGACGACGACGACGAGATAGAAGTAGAAGAAGAAGTTGAAGTGGAGAAAGTTAATCAGAGATGTAACGGTTAGTTATTATTTCTGATTAATTGATTTTTTTCTTTTCGTGGAAATTGAATAATATTGTGATGTTTTCGCTGCTGTTTTGTTCGATTTACTGTTGTGTGTTACCATTGTATGGATTGCTTGATTAATGTGGCAAAATTTGTGCTCTTGTGATTGATAGTGTTTGGCTTAAATTGATAAGGCTAGAATTTTTGAAGGTACATTTAACTCAAAAGTGGCAATTTACCGCGTTTTAGTTTAGTGGGAGATTGTTTAGGTGATTGGCATTGAAAGACAAGGCCTTTCTTGATTGGTTTTGTCGGAGGAAATATCGCCAATGCTTGAAATAGTGTGATTATGCAAGTGGAAGTGAGCTACCATAGGTTTTTTTCAGGCTTCATTTTATTTTTGATGTTCTGCACTTGCTTCATTTGAGATTTTAATTTTCATCATAGTTATTATGATGTTATTAGGATCATTAGGTATTGCTTCCTATTGGTATTTTTTTTCCTGGTTATTCTTCTGAGTTCTGGTCGAATTGCTAATTGGGGGTTTTTAAGGGAGCATGTCAAATCTTAATTTAGAGAGTTTGACAGCTGTGAAAATGGTGTGTCTTTCTAATGACAGTTTGGGTGCCATGTGAGTAGCTCTTAGGTCACTTGATGGAATTGTATGAACGTCAAGGTTGCATGCCAGTTCTTCTTCTGTTTTAGGATATACATTATCAGTCACTTACCCATCACACAACTCTGAGGGAGCATGATAGAATAGGGATTTCCATTACTCAACATTACAAGTATGCTCACATACAACTTCACATCTTCAAAACAAAGGTTAACGAGAGGAATGTAGGCATTGGCTTAGTAGAAATGTTTCTGTTCTTTTCAAACTGGTATTTACATGTTTAAAATTCAAGTTAGCTGCTGCATGACTCCTCTATTGCAGGTTTTTTTTCCATATGTGAAAAGCAATAGTCTTATCCTTTTTCTTTGTGTATTTTTTTTCCTGAACCAAGATGCTTTTAGTATGAATACAGTTCTACTGCAGTCTGGTTTTTTCATATTTTTCTCTCTTGGTGCTGCTTCTGCCATCATGTTTTTGCTTCTTCGCCTCATGCTCCTTGCTTTTTCTTTACTGAACTCATCCAATGTGCCACCCTCAGTTTTGCAATGTGCACTTTCCTTTCTTACTGCTTTTTAATTCTTATGCACATAGTCCAATTCTTTTTGCGTGGCAGAGTGGAATGATTCTTTATGGATTCTATTATTTAAAAGAACAACGTATGGACATTTTCATTTTGTACATCTAGTTTTGATTCATAGTACAATATTCTCTCCAGCTTACTCTCTGTACATACGATTGATAATTATTTAATTTGTCTCTAGGTTGTCATTGTGCTTTTATCCTGATTGTTGTTCAGTCCATGCATTTTGTTCCTTCTACTCAATTCATTCATTTATTTTTTGAAGTGCCTTGAATAATTCCTATTTCTGTAGTTTGTTGAAGCTACATCATTAAGAAACATAAAACCATAATGCGAAATGATAAGGAAAAGGATGGAGAGGGATTAAGAAGATCAAATAATAATAATAATAGTAAAAAGCATTGAAATATGAAGAGACCTATATACACACTGAGTACCTTGTGAAAGAGAAAATCTGCAAGAATATTATGATGCTGCATTATCAATGTTAAAAAATTTTGATACTGACTAAAAATCTTTTTCCAATTTCTAACAAACTAATATAATCTCATACAGTAATGAAAAAGAACGCATTGGCATCCTAAAAATTTAACCAACATAAATGAAACTGATGATTAAAATTGCACACACAATAGAAACGGATAGTGGCAACTCTTCATTGTTTTCTATAGAAAAAGATGACTGACTCTTCACCATTCGATGTAAAACTAAAAGTAATCAGTAATCATCAAGAACAGACTGCTGAAATAGTAAAAATAAAAAAAATATAACAATAGTCAATAGTAGAAATGAAATTTATGGAGACATAAGACAATAGAATTGTGTAACTTAAATTATATAAATAATCAGAAGATCAAAAAGAGTGTCCTCAATATATATAAGTACTATACAACCCAAAACAGAATATACATTACAACATATCCAAACACAGAGCGAATTTGATTCAATTCTTTTTGTTGACTGAAAGGGAAGAAAAATTCTTGATGTCGAAAGAAATCAAATTAGAAATTTTGTTGGAAGCCAAGAATAAGAACTATTGGCAGAACCCTCAATTACTCCTGTCCCCCCCCCCCCCTCTCCTTCGCTATACTACGCTTTCAACAAAGCCAATAACTTCCGAAAACTATTGAAACAAATGAAAACTAAGGGAATAAGCAATGATCTAATATTATACTTAATTTGTTGAAGAATCTAGGACATCTTGATTGAGCCAAAATAATTTTGTACAAAATTAGGGGGAACAACTAAAGTAATCGTGACATGGGTGATCTTGGGGATTGCTTGAGTTTGAAAGACAAGATGGGTGATTTAAGTCATTCGTTCTTATAAAATAGTAGGTAGACTAGGTGTGAAGGATTGAGAAAATGGAAGAGAGAATTTTCAAAAGCACCGAAATGAAAAACTTTTAAGAGTGAAGTTAGGGGAGATGCATATAAAAAGAAGAAGAAAAAGGATGGCAACTAGGTGCCTATGAGAATTTCAATAGATAGTAAAATGGTAAGGAGACTACTTCTCCCTACATTCTCACTGTTGATTATCATGTACCTAACTTCCTTTTGTTTCCTTTTCTCTCACTCTTTGTAAGTGGTAGTTTGGTATGATGGTGATGAACTTTCTTAACGTTTTAGGATGAGAAAATTATTAAGTTTAGCAGTTAACCCCTTAAACCCCCAAAAGTGGTTAATTGTTCCCTGTAGGCAAGGCAGAGTTGGGGAGAATAAAAGACTTTCGAGTAGTAAACAATGTCTTCTCTACTCTCTCTCACTTGCTTAAGCTTTTAAGCTAATCTCTTTTCAAGTTATGCCATTTAATTGTGGTCTGCTAGCAGATAATGTGATATTTTTTTAGAAATAATTTAATTAGTCATTGGGCCCCCCATTATACTTGGATTTTTTAAGCTCCTGCCATAAATCTTAAAAATAAACTTTACACCTTTCATTTTTTTTCCCTTTTATGAATTAAAATGGTTCGTTGATAAAAGAAACTACCTTTAATAATTGCTCTTTTCCAATAATTTTCTACTATTGCTTAAGCTCATAAGAATCTCACCCCATGCTTTATTTCTTTATTTATTTTTTGCTTATTATATTTCATATGACTAGTGATGTGGAATTGGATGCAATAAGTCAATGATTAGGGTGGAGGAAATGCTATGGATTTACTTTTCAGGTTTGGTAGGGGGAAGGATGGGAGCATATTCTAGAATCTTTAATGGCCAATCTCCATACAATCTTGTTACATCTTTAATAAGTCCAACACAAATGGCTTTTCGATGGGTCTATTATCATATGCTCTACTGGACACTAGCTAGTTTGGCTTCTAAAGTTGCTTGGCATGGTACCAAGTGATCTGGGACTGAATCCTGCTCACATTAGGAATCAAAAGAGGAGGTCAGGTAAAGTTGCTTGGCATGATACCAAGGCTCAATTGGGATCCAAGTGAATAAAAAAATATTTTGTGATGTTCAAGGGGTCTGGAAAACCTTATTTTCCTTGTATTCTTGTCCAGGAAAATGACTTAATGAAATTGGTCACTTTCCCTATCTTAATAATATTTTCTAATTTAATCCAAAAAAAGAGGGCTACTGATGCAGGTGCTATTTGAGCATCTATAGTCTCTAGATTAGCATTTCATGACCACTTCCTTTTCAAACTAACACACCACAGTTATGATTGATTTAACCTAAAATGAAAGGCTCACAACACCTCCATCCCCACCCCTCTGAGCATAAAAAATACATGATCATAAAGTTGTGGGAATGCACTTTCCTCTCACAAATGACTTTGATGCCATCATTTTGATTTTTCCCATGATTTGTTTGCTCCTATAATGAAGTTTGGATAGTCAAGAAATGTTGCTTTGGCATCTGTCCTGTATCATCTCCCTAGGCTTGATCTTATACACTTGATGCATGCTGTTAGAAATGAGATTTCAACCTTTCGCTTGATTCTGCAATTCCACAATGGAGCAACCAAGCAGGCTCTTGAATTTGTTTCAGGAATTAGTTGGATAAGTGATCCTACATGGAGTTTTCCTTTTGAGTATCAAATCTCCGAAAAATCATCTTTTAGGACCTGATCTATTATGCAAAAATCTGCTCCAGAGAAGTTGATAGCTTTGCATTATTTTTTATATAGTTCTTCTTCCATGTAGATAATAGAAAACTTAAGGAGTTTGACAGGCAACTGGTATCACATTCTGCACATGAGATATCTGAACTGAAGGAAGATAGTGTCAGTAATTTCAAATGTTCTGGTCCTTCAGATGGACCATTAACGATGCAGAAGGGCAAGTCATATGCGAATTATGCAGATTCTAGGTCCCCAAAATCAAGTAAACATTTGATTATTTCTCAGAAAAATGGAAGTTTCGAATATGCAGTCAACAAAACAGATGCTGAGGCTCTTATGATAAAGAAGAACCCGGAAGGATGCAGTGAAGCCTATGGCAATAGCAAGTCTCATTTAAGTAATAATGAAGCTATAGCTGTTGAGATCACTGAGTCATTTATAACCACAGGCATAGAGGAGGATGCTCTCTTAACTAAGAGAAACTGCTTGGTTGAGAAGGCTAATGTTGTCCTGGATTCCAAGGAAGAACTTAAGCCAGTGGATGTGAAGTCAGAGGATCCTAAAGAGCAAACAGCATTGAGGTGTGGTGACGCTGACTTAGTCTTTTCTTGAACTTTAATTATCAAAGAATGTTGTTTTCTCAGCCTAATATCTCCTCATTGTTACTTTCTTCTTTTCCTGACTAGTGCAGTATTCCTAATTCTTACTAACCATTAGGTTTTCCAGATTGGTGGCTTCTGGGATAAGGGCAAGAAGTTTATCCCCTTCTACCGAGCTTAGGGATGGAAACAAACGCCCAGCAGTAATTTGTGACTTTTTTTCCAAAGGGTGGTGTGTTAGAGGGAGTTCGTGTAGGTTCCTACACATAACCAACAAAGCAGATAATAATAACCAACAGCCAGGGGTAGAAGAGGTTGCTACACGAGAAGACCAGTTTGATGAAGGTGATTAACACTTGTCATATATTTTGACGAACCTTTCCTTTTAAGATGTTCTGAATATCTGAAGTGTTCCTTCTCCTGTATCAGGTGTGAGAAACATTTTAGAGACACCGAAGTTCCCTCATTTTCCTTACCCAGTTGCTTCTTCAACAGGAAAAGAAGCAACATTTTCTTCTCATTTTTATTCAGAAAGACTCCCATCACGAGAACACAAAGAAAACCAAAGGTTTCATCAGTTCGATGATAAACACAAGTTCTCACCTCTACAAAGAGAGGGCATTCCTCCCGATGCCAAGCAGTTTTCTTCCTCCAAAGATGATCCTGGGTTTTCTTCCTCATTTAAGCATTTAGGAATAGAGAATTTTAGACAACATTGGCCTGTGCCTGATTATGGCAACTACACTTCTCTAATTAATAGAGGTAGCTAACTTAAGAGCTTGCTTCCTAAAGTTTTCTTTGCATAGCTCAGTTGCTACTAGAACGTGCATGATTCAAACTTTGATATTTTATTTTTAAGGAGTGTTTCATTGTCATCTCACCATGTCTCAACCTGTACAGGATCACCGTTTTCTTTTAGTTCCTCTTTTGATACAAGTCTGCTTGGTTCTCAAAAACTGCTGGATGGTGATCGTGCTTCTAGATCTTCTTTGTTACTGCAAACGGCTTCTGCTTTCTCTGGTTCTGAGCGAGAAAAGTTTTCTCCAGTTGGTGTATCTGGGGATCGATTGCATCATGCAGAACATAAAGCGGAAATTTCCTCAAATGACTGGGAGCCATCTGTACCTTTTCAGCCTTCTTTTTTATTACTCCTGAAATGATATCATCTCCCAGAAGCCAGTACGACCCTCTTCAAGATAGCTTTGACTTGCCCAATATAGGAGACAAATCCTTCAAATTCTCTTTCTTTAGTCTAGGAGGATCTATCTCAAATATGTCGCAGCAACCAATATATGGAGATTCCTTATCAAGTCGGACCTTTGGCACCGAAAGTAATGGTGACAAAAGTACTACATCTTTTCGTGATAAACTCCATGGAGGTCTGTTGGATAAGAATTGTAGTACACCCGGAAAAGATTCATTTACCACTGCAACTGTGACAGGGGGGACTGGTACTGCTGATGGGGAAAATGGGAATGCACCCAAGGAAGAAAGTGCCTCAGGCACTGGTTATGACAAAGATAGTCGAATTACAAAGAAAATTGATGCTCGTGATGGTAGGCCTCACAGAGATAGGTCAAGACACAAAAAGGACTTGAAGGCAGATAGTGTTAGACAAAACAATGAAATGGAGGTTGACCAAAAGATAGATGGGGATGGGCAAAAAGAATCAAAAGTGCTGAGACATTTTCGTTCTGCTCTTATTGATTTTGTTAAAGAATTGTTGAAACCTATCTGGCGTGAGGGTCATCTCAGCAAGGATGCACATAACACAATAGTTAAAAAGACAGTTGAGAAGGTTATTCGCACCTTGCAGCCTCATCAAATTCCAGCTACTCTAGAGTCAATTAAGCAATATCTTTCTTCATCTCAGCCAAAAATGGCAAAGCTTGTTGAGGTGAGTGTCTTGATTTGAGAGATCATATGTAGGAAGGGATAGACGTTGATTTTAAAAGTTTTCATGCCTGGCATTTAATGGTTGCCTTTTTCATTTGCAGGGATATGTTTCCAAGTATGGAAAATCATGAGATGCCAGGCTATGTGATTTTCTTTCTGTACAGTTTCCTACACATTCTGGTTATTCAAATATCCATAATAGTCTTTATGAGGCTTATTTAGCAGTAGTTAAAACTGAGATTCAGGTGGAATGTTGTGAATTTTGTAAGTTGTTTTTCTTTATGGATTTAGTTTTGGATCATTTGGCATAGTGTAAAAGAATATAAAATGTTATTATAGGAAAAATGAAAAATTGCACAAAATTCTTGATGTTGTGTCGATTTTAAATCCGTTGGCTCCTGAAAGATAGGGCCAGCAGTCGCTTCAACCTTCCTGAATTGCCAAGTTTGTTTTGCATTCAAGTTTAGCCTATATCAGGCCTCTTTGGTGGATTGTTATTCATTGTTATTCTTTCGTAGGCATCTTTGTTTGAAATGCAACATTCTTATCTGTTGTGCTCTGTGTTTGCCAATGCTTGATGCAATGATAAAAGTCTTGTTATCGTAACCATGTGAAATTCTCCACGCGGGCTTGAAACTTGAGAACAGCCTATTCATGCAAAAAATGCTTTAGGGTAGAATCATCTTTAAATATCCCTTCCAAAGTAAGGCTACATTTTGTTGAATGAGATGACTTCATTTTCTTGAATGAGATTCCAATATTTTTGAGCTGGCTCCCTATAAGCAGAAGAGACCCCTTATTTTGGCAGTTCAGGTGTTAATTTTCAGATTTATAGTTTTGAGAGAGTAGATATCTAAGCCAACACTCTTGCAGTATTGTTACCGTTAGCCTTTAATGTTAAGATCCCTTATATATATATTCATTTATAAATTCTGTTTGTCATAATTTGCACCTGTGCTTTTCAGATTCCTGTCTTTATGAATGATATGTGCATCTTGCTTTTCTCTGCTATTGAAATCGTATATGGAGATGTTTATGCAGTGAGGTACTTCATCTTATTTTGCTTATGACATGCTTTCCTTTAAAAAGTTTATAGTTGACACCCATGTGCATAACTGGTTTTTCATGACTTTGCTGAAGATTTTTGACAATTATCATTGCTTGTTTGAATTATATAACAATTATATTTTTGCTGTTCAAACAATAGTAGTTCAGAATCCAAACCTATGGGACAGACCAGAATCCAAAAAACATGACAGAATAAGCTAAATCTGCTCTATTTGACTATAAATGCCCAATTTATGTCATCACACACATTTATATGGGATTAGACAAGTTTGGTTCGTTTCAGTTGTAACTGAGATAAATGTGACAATTATCTTTCTACTTTTATTTTCATAGGTGTCTATAAGTTTGATTTACTTGTGATTCAAATTGTTTTGGCGCCCTTGTTTTGCATCTCAGTCTATGATACAGAAGTGGGGAGAGGAATGATAGGGGAATGTTTTGATGCAGTGCCTCGTATCCTGAGAAAAACGCAAGGATTAATGGCAAGCTGAAAATGGTGATTTGTCTGTCATGTGGAGTTTGCGGAGAGAGACCCTATTGCTTGGAGAAAGAAGCATAATGTATTTGTGGACATATTCAGAGAAGGGAAACATGTTTCCACTAGTGTGCTTTAGTGTGATTGTTGCACAAATGGACAGGTTTGATAGCCTGGCCCCTTTCACCCATTATTGCCCAATACGAATGATTGTTGTTTTATTTATTTATTTATTTATCATTATTTTTGTTAAGAGGTATTAGCAATGACTTCATCTTAAGACCTCACACTTCTTGCTTTGCAATAGTACCTCTGAGCTGCAAGCTTAATGTTACTAATGGTGGGGTTTTAGTTCTTTTCCATTTCCATTTCGTTCAAAGACTCTCCACGTCTAAGTATAATCTGAAATCTATGAACTATTCATTCAGACTGTAGTAGATGATAAGATACAGTAGTTTTTTACTAGAGTTGGACACCTCTTTTGGCATATGCTCTTTACCAAAAACAAAAAAGGAAGGGATAAAGATACAAATTGAGGTAAAAATGGCTTAAAGAAAGGTCCGTATCATGAGACAAGTGTGACACAAGGATACAAGACATAATTTTACTATTTATTTTATACCTTGGGTGGGTAATTGTACTGCTCAAGTCAATGTGAGAGAGAAAAACAATGTCTGGAGTCTTATTGAATTTCTGCAATGTCTGAACTGATTTTGGAAAAAAATGTGGGAGGAGACCCACACTGAAGTAACTCATATTGGATTGAAGCATATCTGAACTCTTTTATTTCAACTGATGAACGAATGATTAGAAAATTTTACTTCAAAAAAAATCATAAAGTAGAGCCTCAAGTTAGCGTAACTTGATAGGTTCTGCTGGCATGCTTTTAACAGTGGGCTTGTGAGCATGGCATTCCCTGCATGGTGAGACAATTGATCGAAATATTTTCTGGCCAAATGATGAACTTGAAGCAGCATGCTCCTTTTTTGTTTGGTTTCTCCCTTTTCGAGTTGGTTTATCCGAAACTTCAGTGTTGTAATCACTCGATGTCTTGGAATTGCCATGAATTACTTTTTTGGAGCTGAGCTCATTGGTCACCTTAGTCTGCTCTGGTTGATTTAAAAGGGCTTGTAGTTGTAGACCTGTATTGGAGATTGACGTTTCTGCAGGGCGATCCTTATTTGAACTATGAGAAGCCAATGCAGGTGCAGTGCGAGTGAGAAATTCTTGGTTTTGCTTCTTAACTTTGATAGCGCTGTTAGTAGGGGGGACTTTGATTCCAGATCTTTAGCAGATAGGAGAGTAGAAAAGGAGAGTGATTCGCATGAAAGCTCTGCTGAAACATCAATAGAGATCTTATTTTGCAGATGGGTTGCCATTCTTTTTTGGTGCAAATTTTGTTTCAGGGACTTAAGCTTATACACTGACATAGTAGAATATATAGATGGAACGTAACTTTTGTTCTTTCTGTTTGTTTTCCCTTGGTTTTTTGGCCGTTTAAATCTTGACTCTTCTGTGCTTGTAGATTCTGATGATTGTTTTTTTTTCAGATACATGTAGTTACTACTCATTAGTAAATAAAACTTACGTCGATGCTTCCAAGCGCAATGGTGTTTTACTTTATTTTTATGTTTACCTCGTATAGTTGCTGGAGTCTTTTTTTTTTTTTTTTTTTAGCTTATTCCAGTGACGGCCTTGAAAGGATGAGTTGTACAGGCAACTTTAAGGAGCGGCTGTTGCATGGTGGACATATCGATGAAGGTATGGTAAAACAAATTAACCTTCTTGTGTACTGTTCTCAATCTCATAGCTATATTTTCTTCAACCCTGATGCTTAAAGTTGTCACAGTGCTTTGACATAAGTAATTTCTATGAGGTAATTTACTTCAAGTTTTAAACTTTGATGCGGTTAATTCATTTATTTTTAAAAACTAATGCATTAGTCTTTTACCATTTTATAATAACGAGGCACTATTTTTAGCACTACGAGTAGTTTCTGAAACCTCTAAACAAATTATCCTAAATTATTTGAAAATCTCATCGTACAATGGCTTAAGCTGCTGATAGGAACGTGGAATGTTTAATTGCTTGAAGTAGCAATGTAAGAAAAAGGAAAGGATACATGAGGAAAAACTCTCTCCCCTCTTGAAAAAATTTGGTTTGAGGCCTGAGGGTAAAGTTCGTAATTTGGTGTTGGTTTACTCCCATAGTGTTATTATTGATGAATGTAGTGATGTGATTTTTGTATTGATGGACATTCCAAAGTAGATGAACTCCGGACTCGTAAAAAATACACATCATTATCAATGGACTTTTACCGTCTCGTAATTGATGTCTTTGATTATTACAAGATTCAGGATGGAATAAAATACAATGATTACCGATAAAAGCTCGTTAATATCTCCATAGAGTGGGATTAAGTGAAGTCTTGACGGTGGTTGCAATGCAACACCTACTTGTCTACCAATTGGAAACACGGTTTCATGCCTATCGTTTCTATCCAACTAAAATGGGTTTAAGGGATTGACAATCAGCAGAGATTCTCTTACCGGGAAATGTTTTCAACTCGGAGACAAGCACCCATTAAAGTCCCTATAGATTTTAGCAGATCTCAGTTAAAGAGACGCAAGATCATCCATGAGGGAAAAAGAAAAAACAAAGTAAGGGAAAGAGACATGAGATCAAATTTCTTTTTCTTAATAAGTTAGAAGCTAATCAGCAATAGATAAAAAGAGCCAGCAACTGGATAAAATCCTTTAGAAAGATGCTTTTTTAAAGCAACGGATCTTCAAACTAGCATGAATGATATAAATGCAAGATTTGTTTTTTCTTTTCACAAAATAAATACATATTTGAATAACTTTTAAACTAGATGTTTATTTTAGGTCTAAGATATCTAAGGATAGGCGGGACTGCTCGTGGCAGGAATTAGGAGGAACAAACTGGCCTTGGTTTCTAAATTGTACCCAACTTTCATAGTTTTAAATTCACGGACCGGCAAGTGAATCGTCGCATGAAGAATTGGAGGCTTGGCGTATAAAGAAATCGGATAAAATCTGACTTGTGCAAATTGATTGTTTGGGTAAGACTGGCCTGTCTATCTACTTTCATAGCCCAAATAATACAAGTCAATGCATCCTTTGGGCTGCATTTGTTATCTTATATACTAATTATCACTTTTTTTTTTTAAAAAAAAAAGGTTAATGTTTTCCTACATCCCTAGACTCTTTCTTTTATATTTTAAAAAAAAATTTACTATTTTTTTTTGGTCTAATATCATTTTTTGTATGTTACATTTTCGCTATTATAACACCCTTTCGTCAGTTGCTTTTTGTTTTTACTAACGTAGTTAAATTTTGATACATCACAGCATGAGATTTCTGTCTGATATACATTCTGGTCTCTAAACGTTTTTAATATTTTTACTTTAGTCCCTTTATGTTATTTTTCTTACAAATAAGTCCTTAAATTAAAATTCTTTGTCATCATATTTTATAGTAAAACAATTTTAGTCTTTAAACAAAAAATTTTAATTAAATCCTAAATGTCAAATTGTAAACTTGGTAAAGCAAAAATTTAACAAAATCACAATAATTAAAAAGTAATCACATCCATTCAATCAATCTCACCAAACAAAAATTATCAAGAAGTTTAGCGATTGAGTTATTATTTTGAGATAAAATTTATTTTTTGATTTTGAGATAAAATTTATTTTTTGACTTTTTGGACATATATCAACATGTGATTTTGTTGTGTAAGGATTGATGGATTGATTTTGTATGGTGTATGAGAGTTAATGAAATTGACATTTTGGTTTTCTAATTATTTTTCTTTCAAATATTGGTTTTGTAAGAGTTGAATTATTATTATTAGGTTATTAAAAAATAATATGTCTAAATTAATATGAGAAAATAAATTCAAAATTGAAGTAAAAGGACGTCACACACACACACACACACACATATATATATATGAGAATTTTGACCAAATTTTCTATTTGATATATAGGAATTTAATTGGAAAAAAAATCATTTAGAAACTAAATTGTATTTACTATAAATTATAATGTCCAAAAAACTTTCAATTAAGGATTTATTTGTAAAAAAATAAAATAAAAAGATCAAAGTAAATTAAAAAAAAAAACAAGGACCAAAATCTACATTATTAAAAAAAAATTTATGTTCTCATATGTCAAAATGTTAACGACATTATTAATGTAAACTAACATAACAATGTGTGACAAAAATATAACGTAAATGTATGATATTAAGATAAATAAAAATAAAAAATATATATTTTAAATAGAAAAGGAAGGACATATGGATGTAAAAGCATTATTCTTTTTTTGAAAAAAAAACTCTCTCCAATATCATTAATACATCACTAGCCTTTTCTTGTACTTTTTTATTCTTATATATATATATATATATATATCATGCTTTTTAGACCCACGATTAAAGTTTCTTTCTATGTGAAAATAATTTGATGCAGATTGTTTTGCCACGAAAGCAATGTGCTACAAAAACACCCAATCATGCATGTCTCTATATAAAATATGATAGAGATTTTTCAAATCTTTGGTGAATCACTAAAGATCTTTGTATTAAACAACATTATTTTATTACTGTTTGTGTAATATGTTAAAATATTAGAAGTGTCATTAATTTTTTTAATAAATTTAATTATTATTGTATTATTCTAATAAAACTAAAAGAAAACGAAAAACCACTGTATCAATTTTACTATTCATTAACCGTTTATTTCTTTTTCCCTTTCTTTTTTAGTTGCTGTAGCTAAGGGCTTTTTTGGCTTTTAGTTAATTTTATTTTTATTTTGATCCTTATTTTATGATTTTTTTATTTTCATCATTAAAATTTTATTATATTTGATTTTTATTCCTATAATAAATATTAAAATTTTATTATATTTGATTTTTGTCTCTATAATAAATATTTTTCTTGACTTTTAGTAAAATTTTATGTTATTTTTTTGTTCTTATTTTGTGATGTGTTTTTATTTTAGTTATTAAAGTTTTATCATGTTTTATTTTTATCCTCACTATACTAAAACTAAATAAAGTTTACTATCCTAAGCATTTTTTTTAGTGAAAATTTTCTTTCTATTATAATTCATGTTTTGTGATTTTTTATTTTATTTTGGCCATTAAATTTAATAGAATTTTTTTTTAGTCCCTGTTTTGTAATTTTTTTTTATTTTTATCTTAAATTTTTATTATATTTGATTTTTTTCCAACAAGGAACTACCTTTTACTTTTAGTAAAGCTTTTTGTTATGTTTTGGTTTTTATTTTGTGATCTTTCTTTTATTTTAATCAGTAAATTTTTATTATATTTGATTATTATTCTTTCTATATTAAAATTAAATATAGTTTCACTATTCTAAGTTTTTTTTTGGCTTTTAGGGAAAAAAAAAAAGAAACATTTTTTTTTTGGTTTTTATTTTGTGATTTTTTTTTTCATTTTGGTCATTAAAATTCTATCATTTTTTACTTTTATTTTTGTCTCATGTATAATGAATTTTTTTTAGTCTTGTTATTTATAATTTTTTTTCTTTCAGTAAATTTTTTTTTTTTATTTTGATCCTTCTTTTATGATCTTTACTTTATTTTGATCATTTAATTTTTAACGTGTGTAATTTTATTTCTATTTTTTTTTCAAATTCTTGATTTGAAAATTTTTTTTTGTCTTTTTGTTTTGAGTGGTCTCTTTATCTCATTAAGAAATTACAGATGAATAATATATGATAAAAATTAATCATCTAAAATTCAAAAAACTACCACATCATTATTTTAATTACCAATTATTAGACATATTTTTAATAAAATTCATATTTATATTAAATAATATCTAATTAATAACAATATATTACTCAACTTTGCAGATTTTTCATTTAGCTAACCCTATAACAAGATATAAAATATATGTTTTAGTTCTTTTTTTTAATTTTTTTCGCGTGATCCTTTTAAATAATTATTTTTAAATTTTATATTTTATATGAATGAACACATAAGAATGTTGTATAACTTATTTAACGATAACCTACGAGATATATGCTAGTATTAAACTATTATAAATGTTATTATTATGTTTAATTAATAAAATTGTTAAAAATATATAAATTAAAATAAATTTATTAATAGCTCACAATCATTATTTTACACTATTATATAATAGCTCTAATTTATGAAATCACAACTGTTTTTACAGCTATATTTATAATAATTATTTTAAGAGAAATTAAAAGCAGGAAAAGACACCCATGAAGACAAAGCCTCTTCAAAGATGCTTGTCTCGTAATATTCATGGCATGGGATAGTGATGGATGGTATGGTGACAGGCATCCCAACTAACAAAAAATATCCAATAGCTAAAAGCGTATTACATTTTGTTTCTTTCCGTTCCTTTTACTCTCTTAATACAATTTGTTAGTTAGTAATTGAGTATTTTTTTTTTATCATATTTAAACTATATATTTTTTTAAAAAAATATTGAGATACTTAATTTTTTTTTATTGAAACTTTGTATTTTTTTGATAATTTTTTATTTCAAACTCTCTTTTATAACACTATCAATCAATAATCTTCCAACTATCTTTCCTATTTAAAGATTTTTAACATATAATGACCTACATCAATCTCTGATTGATACTGATTTAATAAAAAATTAAAAAATAATAATAAAAAAAGAGAGTTTCAATAAAAAAATTCAAAAAATATATAATTCAAACGTAAAAAAAACATATTAATAACTATCATAAGTATTTTGAGATTTTAAGTTTTTGATTAACACTAGACAATAAAAATTGAAATCACTGAGTTTTAAATTAACTATTTAAATTGGATTGTTCTATTCATTCTCTTTATATATATATATATATATATATATATATATATATATATATATATATATATATATATATCATTTGCCAACTTTTCAAACTAGTTTTCGGACGTCGAATCGTTTTTTTTATTATTACATCAAACTCAGTTATTTATATCTAAAATAATAATTTATTTTTTATGAAATTGGGTAATGCCAAAGAAATATGAGACAGGCACAATCGCAAAATCCATTGCCATCAGTCAGTGAAAAAGTAAATCCAAAGCACAAATCTAAATCACCTCGTCAAGAATCAAAAACCCATGATGAAAGGAATGGGCCCCACGTGTCGCCACCAGAGCTGGTATCCTCCATCTTTCTGGACCCCACAATGGCCCATAGAATAGGACAGACCATGGTATAGCAAGGGTACACTTGTGAAGCAAACACCCAACCTACTCACCAGTGGATAGATATTATTTTGCGGGCCCTACCTTTACGAAGTCTTCATCCTTATCCTTCTTCTCTTCTTCTTTTTCTGTCTCCTTCCCATTTTCTTACCTCCACGTACCCTTCATTTACATTTTTTAACCCGCTTTGAGCTTTGTCAGTAAATGTTGACGGTAGTAAAATCACACTTGAAAGGAGATAAAAATTAAAAAAACCCAATACGGACATGGCAACTATTTATAGGTATTAGAGATATTTAATCCATCTTCCTCTATATAAGTGAAGCAACTATCTATCGAAACTCTTACCTGATTGAAGAAGAGGACAGGAAAGATAGAAAAAATCAGGCAGGAAAGATGGTTTTGCTAGACAAGATGTGGGATGATGTCGTTGCTGGGCCTCCACCAGAACGTGGCCTCGGCAAGCTTAGAAAGATCAGCACCAAACCTCTTAATATCAAAGGTATGCTATTAGTTCTTTACATGATCTACATATTATTGTAACTTTCACCATATTTGTACTGATGTTGGTGATCGTGTTTGGTTAGATATCGACGTAGGAGAGGGGAGCAGTGTTAGTAAGTTTCAGAGGTCCATGACTATGCCAGCAAGTCCAGGGACACCCACGACGCCAGTGACCCCTACAACCCCAGTGTCGGCGCGTAGCAATGTTTGGAGGAGCGTGTTCCACCCTGGTAGCAACCTTGCTACTAGGAGTCTTGGTTCTCAAGTTTTTGACAAGCCACAGGCTAACACCCCCACTGTCTATGACTGGTACGTACGTAAACAAATATATAAAAATCCCATCTACTTCATATATGCATATGCATATAATTTTTTGTATTTTGGTTTCATTTGAGTTTTTATTTTTATTTTTTTGGTTAGTTTTATTTGTTAGGCTTTATCGAGAAAACACTAGATAATTAATTTCACGTGAATTTCGAATTGGGTTTTATTTGACTTTTTGTTCTCTCTTTCTGTGCTTTTTAGATCCCCCCCCCCCCCCCCCCCTGTATATAAGAAAAAATAAGATGATAGTTAGATTCAGGTGTTATAGTGGCGCGTGGGAATAGATCTATGTCCCTCCCTTCTGCATGGACGCAAGTACACATCGATATGGTATAATGTTTGATGAACTTGTGCTTCAGTGGAATCACGCCGTTAGATCTGCATCCGATGGCTTGGATCTGCTAAATGGATTTGATTTCTTTGTACATCAAAATGAAATTGTAATATCGTATCTGATGATCGTAGGATGTACAGTGGAGAGACAAGGAGCCAGCATCGCTGATGAGGTGGCATTCAACTAAGGCTGCCATGTAAATACGGTGTTCTGTTTTTTTCAGTACTTATCTGCAATATTGTCTCTTAATTAATGATGATGCTGTTATGGTTCTGCCATGTCTGGAACAACCTGAGCTGATGGCTAGTTTTGTATTGATCTGTTATGTGAGATTATCCTTAAGTTAGTGTAACGTTGTACGTTTGATTGATCTTTTTGTGAATTAAGATCAATCAGGGGATGGGAATGGTGATGGTGATGACTTATTAATAATAATTATGCTTTTGTATGTTGTAGTTGATGTTGTCTAATCACCTTCTGCTTATCCACTATCCCAATTGCTCCTTGATTTATTATTTTATAAGGTTGATCTAGGAGCATTATGAAAGAAGAAAAATCAATAAATTATTGGAACGATTACTGATCCTAGGAGATGGGATCGTGGCCTCTGTGGGACTTTTTTAGAAGGATAATTGTGTAAGGAAAAGTTCAGGGATCATGAGTTTAGTCTTAGGTCAAGGTGGTCCTTTGGAATGATGGCCAGGAGTAGTTACCCGATTGGTGACCGATACAACAAAAAATTGAAAAATGGGAAAAAAGAAATATTGTTTACTCCCTGCATTTATAGAGATGTAATATCTTGGTGCTTCGGGTTTTGAAACAGTAACTTAGTCCCTTGACTGTTAATTTATTGAAGGCTTCTCGAATGATTTAAAAAGCGGTAGGAGTATCGCTCGAGTGTTTTTTATTTAATATGTGGCTAAATATAATTTAGAAAGAAAAACAACTAAATTGGTGACTTTTCAAAACCTTATTAAGAAACACTTGATAAAGGAGTTAAAGTTACAAAAAAAACGTAAAATTGAAGGATCTAATGTAGGATTTTTAGAACTATCAAGGACAGTAATTGTTCTGTCAGAAACACAGGTCATAAACAAAACAAAATTGGTGAGACGTAGCTCCCCAGGTCATAAACAAAACAAAATTGGTGAGACGTAGCTCCCCAGGTACCTTTGCATGGGGACGGCAAGTCTTGTGTGATCATTCAAATAAATTGGTAAAATCCATTTTTCAAGGGGTGTTGCTTGTTTTAGAAAAATATCAGTAAAATTCGAGATGGAAAATTTTGATGGTAAGATCAATTTCAGCTTATGTTAAAATTGCTAGTCCAACAAAGTTAGCAAAAGGCATCTGCCAGAAAAGAAAAATTGTCAATCAAGAAAGGGACAACCAAAGATGGCGAATCATAAACTGCTGCCACGTCTCTCTCCACATCAATGTCCGATGCCGATTTGGCAGAAAATGACACAAAGGCTCGTAGTGCAATTATGTTGAATTAGTCAAACAAGGTGTGACGTGAAGTCTTTGGAGGAATTAAGACACCGGCAAAATTATGATTGAAGTTCGAGAGATTGTGTGTATGACATGGTTTCTCGTTAATAAATTGTACCTGAGACAAATTCTCTCTACGCACTTTGGATGAATGAAAGTGCGTCTATTAAAAAAATACATTGATGAATTTAATAGAGTAGTTATGGATTTGAGAAATATTGATATCAATGTTGATGATGAAGATCAAATCTTTATTTTACTACGTTATTTAATTCCTTCCTATGAATATTTTGTTACAACATGCTCTAAAGACAGGTCGATGAATTTAATAGAGTAATTATAGATTTGAGAAATATTGATATCCATATTGAAGATGAATACTCAAGTCTTTATTTTTTATTATGTTCTTTGATTCTTTCTTATGAATATTTCGTTACAACGATACTCTAAAGATATAATCAGTATGAAAGATATTAAATCATCCTTAAATTTTGAAGAATTGAGAAAAATGGTGTCTAACAATAATTCTGATGAAAATAGCGAGGGTCTTATTGCGAGAGGAAGAGAGTTCTGGGATTAGAGGTCGATCTAGATCAAAGTCTAGGTCAAATAAAATATCGAGTGCTATTAATATCACAAAAAGGAACACACTAGGTGGAATTATTCAAAAATTAAAAAAAGACAAACCTAATGAAAGTTTTTTTTGATGTTGCTGGCAAATTGAAGAGTACTTCTTCAAATGTAAAAAATAAAGGAAAAAATATCCTTTATTTCACCACTAGTCACTAGAGCTCAACAAATGAGTGGATCCTTGACTTTAGTGCTTCATATCATATATGTCCCAATAAAAACTCATTTTTCACATATCAATCAACTAATGGTGGTACAATTTTAATGAAAAATAATATGACTTCTGGAATTGTCGGAATAAGAACCATCCAAGTCAAGATGTATGATGATACTGTGAGAACTCTTGCTGATGTTAGGTATATTCTAGATGTGAGGAAAAAATTAATTTCTTTGGATGCTCTTGATTTTAATGGTTGTATGTTTTCGACTGAAGGTGGAATTTCGAGAATTTCAAAGGTATTTTAACAGTGACGAAAGGCAAAAAAAAAAAAAAAAAAAATGACTTTTATTTGTTGTAAGGTACAATATTTGATTCTACATCAGTATCTTCATCAGCCAACTCAGATTCAAAAACATACTTGGTCGTGGCATATGTGCTTAGGGCATATAGACAAGAAAGGTATGGCTGTATTAAGTCAGCAAGATTTGCTTTGTGGATAGAAAATAAGTAAACTTGATTTCTATGAGAATTGTGTGTTTGATAAACAAATGCATGTCAAGTTTTCCACTATAGTTTACAAAACCAAGGATATGATGGATTGTCTTCATTCAATTCTTTGGGGTCCTTCATAAACCCTTTCTCCTGGTGGTTCTAGCTCTTTGTTGCCTTTTATTGATAATTTCTCTTGTAAAATCTGGATTTATATTTTGAAGAACAAAAGTGACATATCTGATCATTTTAAGAACTGGAAGGCAATGATTAAAAATCAAATCGATAAGAAGGGGAAGTGTATCCAGATTGACAATGGTTTATAATGTTGTTCAAAAGAATTTAATGAGTTTTACAAGAATGGAGGCATTGTAGAGTCAAACATACTCCACATCAAAATGGAGTTACAGAACACATGAACATAACTTTTTTTGAGAGAGCACACTGTTTGCTCTTCAGTGCATGTCTGCCTAAGAAATTTTAGGATGAAGCTGTCAACATCGTATGTTACTTAGTGAATAGGTCTCTATCGACTATTATTGAATGTAAGACATCCAAGAAGGTATGGTCAAGTTCTCCTGTTGATTACTCTAAGAATATTTAGATGTCCAGCTTATGCTCATGTAAAAAAACAGAAGTTGAAACCAAGAACAAATAAATACATATTCATCGGAGTAAAAGGATATAGAATGTGATGGCATGGGCTTAAATCCTCTAAATTTATTATCAGCAAAGATGTCACTTTTGATGAATCTTTAATACTTCATTCTGAAAAAAAATTATTGAGACATGTGATTCTCAAAGAGAAACAATAAGTGAAGCTTCCAAAAGAATGCTAGAAGCTTATGTGGAATAGCAAAAAAAAAAAAAAAAGTGGCAATATGAGGTTGCACCAAAATCGCAACAGTACAATATTACTACAAGGTATACTTATATAGTTATCATTCTTATACTTTGTCTATGGCAAAAAAAACTATTGAAGAAGAAGATGAACCTTCCATGTACCGTGATGCTATCACAAGTAAAGAATCCACGTAATGAACTGTTGCTATGGCTAAAGAGATCAAGTCTTTGTGCAAAAAATCAGACATGAGAGTTAGTCAAATTGCTTAAAGACCAGAAGATTGTTGGTTGCAAATGGGTTTTCAAAAGAAAGGAAGGAATTTCAAGTGTTGAGGATGCAAGGTACAAGACATGTTTGGTAGCTAAAGGCTACAGTTAGAGAGAAGGCATTGACTTCAATTAAAAAAAAAAAAAATCACTAGTGGTAAACCATAGTTTTATTCGTATGTTTCTTGCTATGATTGCTTTATGTGACTTAAAGATGGAACGAGTAGACTTTAAAACTATTTTTCTTCATGGTGAACTTGAAGAACAAATTTTATATGCATCAACTAGAGGGATTTATTATTGAGGGAAAAGAAGATGATGTTTTATTGTTGAATAAATCAATATAAGATTTGAAGGAATCATCGAGACAATGATATGTGAGTTTTGATTAATTTATGATTAATCATGGTTATTCTAAAAATAATTATGATACCTTTGTATTTCAAAAAGCTTCGAGATGATTCTTTTGTATATTTGTTATTATATATTGATGACATACTTATTACTACAAAGGATATGTCGGATATCAAAGAAGTTGAAGTCTCAACTCAATTATGACTTTAAGATGAAAGACTCAAGTGTAGTTAAAAAATTTTAGACATGGAAATTCGCAAAGATTGTCAAGCCAACTAACTTTGTTTGTCCCGTAAAAATTATATTGAGAAAATGTTTAATTGTTTTGGAATGCAAAATTTCAAGCCTTTTAGTACATCATTTGTTGCTCATTTTTAATTATCGGTGGAGTTGTCACCACGGACAAATGAAGAGAAGAAGCACAAGTCAAGTATTCTATGTGCTAGTGCTCGTTGGTAGTCTTATGTATACTATGGTATGTAGATGCTCGAATATTTCACATGATTTAGTGTTGTTAGCAAATTTATGAAAAATCTAGTTCAAAAAGCATTGACATGCAATGAAATGGATTCTTTGCTATGTGAATAGTAGCACATATGTTGGCTTAGTATACTAGAGTAGTGGTGATACTTACGAAGTGTTGTTGGCTATATCGATTCGGATTATGTAGATGATTTAGACATAAAGTTATTCTTTTAGGATGTGAAGTTACTAGAAAACAACTTTACAACCGACAATTGTTCTCTCCACTACAAAAGCAAAATAAATAGCATTAAGACAATAAAAAGAGCCATTTAACTTAAAGGCTTGGTTAAACATTTGAGCTTATATCGAGTTTATTTGTTGTTTATTCCGACAACCAAAGTGCAATACATTTGACTAAAAACCAAATGTGTCCTGAAAGAACCAAACATATTGATATTAGGTATCACTTCATTTGAGATGTTGTATCT